GCGGCTCTGCCCGGGACCAGCCCGGCGCTTCCAGGAGGAGCCCCCGAAACGCCCTACTTGGAGGAAGGGAAAGAAAAAAAAACAGGGGTAGGGAGGAGATTTTGGGAGACGGAGAGGCGCTGCCCGCTTGCCAGCCTTCCGGCCGCTTCTGAGCGTGTAGGAGCGCAGCTGCCGCCTGGAGGGCGAGTTCCTTGGGCAGCTTTGAGGACTCTGGGCGAGGAAGGGGGTCTCCTTTGGAGGAGGGGGGCGGAGGAGTGCCGGCCAGCCTCGTGGGCATTGCAGAACCGGCGTCAAGGCTGCTGGCGGCGTCGGGGCTGGTCCAGAGCCTTTCTGGTCTTCCTCCTCCCCTTTAAAAAGCACCCCCAGCCTCAGCGCCCCATCGGGTCCTTTGCCTCCGCCTTGCAGATCCCAAGAAGGAGAAAAGACCCCCTTCCGCGAAAGCCAAGACACGCGCGATGGGAACTTAAGACGGGGCGGAGAAGACGGTCCGGATCTTGGCCGAGGAAGGAGGACTACCGGAGGCTCGCGGGATGGCGGGCAGCGGCGCTGCTTAGCCCCCCGACTCGCTCCATCACCTCTGGCGCCGCCGTCCGCTCCTTCGCGCCCCCTCGCTTGGGGGGACACCCCGGGAGAGAGATGAAGACCAAGGGAGACGCCAGGGAGGGGTCTGCCGCCGCCGCCGCCGCCTCCTCCCTTCTGCCGGCCCCGCATGGCTCCGGGCAGGACCCCTTTTCCCGCAAGCAAACCGTCGAAGCGCTCGACCTCTCCTTGGAGGGGATCCTGTATCCCAAAAGCAGCGACGACGAGGAGGAGGAGGAAGGAGAGGAGGATGAAGAGGGAGAGGACGAAGCGGCGGCGGCCGGAGAGCGGAACGGGACGGCCTCCCTGGTGCCGGGGAGCCCCCCGTCGGACAAGGACGCCCTGGAGAGGGTCCTCGACACCTTCTTGGCCCCCTCCTCCGGCCAGGCCAACGCGGGCAGCCCCTCGGCCGCCATGCCCTGGGCTTTCTTCAGCGCCGAGATGGC